GTTGGTTAATATATTTTTTTTTGTTAATTACTATATCGCAAGTTACGAGTCAGTTGATATATAGCTACGGTAAAATATAATAAGTTTATTATTGAAAACAGCTTCGTCAAATTAATTTTCTTATTTCTACTCGAGTTGTATTAATATATTTGATACTTATCTCTGTTAATTTATATTAATAACAGAATTAGATTACAATATTGTTAAAGCAGTAGCTAGAAATATAGTATTTTTTTTTAGTTATATATATAATAATTTTTTTTTTTAAAGTGATTTACTGAATTTTATTAGTTTGATATAAGATTACATATAAGTAATTTCTTATAATTTGTAATTATATGAAGAGTATACAATAATTTATATATACAATTTTAGTTATTGTCTATTTTAAGGAGACGTCTAAAGTGGAGTTGGTTACACAAAACTAATAAAATTATTATTAACTTTAGAGTTAGGATTAGGTCTAGGTTAGAATTAGAGTTAGCAAGTATATAAGTAATATTATCTTTCTAATATTTTTTATTAGTATATCAAGACAGGTTTAGATAGTTGTTTTTGTATTTTTTATTTTTTTTTGCTTTATCAAGCTAATTTGAGTTAACAAAAATTTGTGATTTAATTAGTTAATTTATATAATTTATTTCTATTTTAGACAATTCTTTTACTTGATAATTCAATTATATGACTTTAAATTTCATATAATATGTCTTTGCAATTTGATTAGCTAATTTATAAGGTGCTATAGTGCAAGTATACTATTTTATATAAACTATTTTTAAAATTTTATATATTACTGAAGCTAAAAAAAATTTTTAACTCTAAGACAAGTTTAAATTTTTACAATTAAATTATAAAAATTATAATAATAAAAGTTGTTTCTCTTGATAAATTCTATATAATTCTAATTTTTTAAAAAAAACAAATAACTAATAGTTAATGAGTTCATCAAGAATAAGTAATAAAATTTTTTAAATAAAAAAATTTCTTTAAAGTTATCTAATTTTAGTATATAGACAACTTATAATTTTTTCTTATAAAATAATTCAGATATTAAATATAACGATAAGAATTTACAATAATGATAATAATACAATAAATACGTGAAAAGGATTCTTATTACCTAGGTTCATTAATTTTAGCCTTTAACATGTGCTCTTGAGAATAGTAAATAAAAAAAAAAAAAAAGGATCCAGAATATTATAGTAAAGATTTTTAGAGATATGTAACAAAGTCTCTATTATCATCATTAGCGATAATGTTAAAAGTCATTTTATTTATTTGAAAGATTGTTTTCGGTTTTTAATCCGTTAAGGATGACAAGCTTATTATTAAAAAAAAGAAACCCAGCGATTCATAAACACTATAATTTGAAGGCAAATTAATTATAATATTATGGGGTTTGCATAGGGACGAAAGTTGAATTTCGTCTTATTTTCTTATGAAAATGTGTAGTGCAGATCTTATAATAAAATATGTTATACACAAAATTAAGGGACATTTCCTCTGATCGCTATAAATCATTTTAGAATCGATTTTGATTGGTTTATCTTTGTTCGGATAGTCTATTTTTAGTTACGTCGAGTTTCGTCACCTTTCAGTTTCATCATTTCAAAAATTTTTTTGATGAAACCTCAAAGTTTTGTCTAACAACTATAAAAAACTCACCCTAGGTGACGCCAGATGACCCATTAGATAGCTAACTTAGGTGTGAAAATTTAAAACTGACCCAATTTTAACCTGGAGACTCACTGTCCATCCATCGGATAGTGTTCTGAAAAAAGGTAACAAGAAATTATTGGATTTTACTTGAACTCCACATTCTGATTGGACGAATCATCGATTAAGTGGTTATCGAGATATCTGTGTTCAAAGTTTAGAATAAATTTTGTCGTGATAATCTAATTTTTTTTTTTTTTTTCAAAATTAAGTGAATTATATCTTAGTTAAAAAACTGATGAATTTTTTTTTTTTTCATTTCAATCTTATGAATTCGTAGAATTAAAATAAAAAGTTTTTTTATCAATTTTGAATAAGGTTTATCGAGATATCTTCATTCAAATTTTAAAAAACTTTGCATAACTTCTGTTTTGATAGTCGTTAAAATTTTTTTTTTTTCCAAATTTTGAGTGAATTTTATCTCGAGAAAAATTAATTAGAAGCTTTACTATAACTTGTTTTGATACTTATTCAAAATCAATAAAATTCTATTAATTTACAGAATTGTAATAAAAAAAAAATTCATTGATTTATGAATGAGCCTTTTTCGGAATATATTTACTCAAATTTTAGGAAGATATTTCGATAACCACTTATTCAAAATCGATGAAATTCTATTAATTCATGAAATTATATTAAAAAACATTTATTGATTTTGAAATTTAGGTAAATTTTTTTTATATATATTTACATATATAACATAGTTGTAGAGATAATGATTGAAAAAAAAAAACTATAATGTTGTTAGATTTAGTCCAATTAGAATGTGGAGAATCTAACAATGGCTGTCACTTTTTTTTTTTTTTTTTGACGGGTCAAATTATTTGTTAGAGTTAGGGTTATTAATGGAGTAGCTCCGGAGTGAACCCAACCCAAGTTGGAGTGGGTTAAAGTTATGACTAAAAATCTGTAAACTCGAGTGGGTTGAGGACTAGTTCAACCATTAACAACCCTAGTTCGAGTGATACAAACCCAAAAAGGAAATTTAATATAAAAATAAATTTTATTAAAATTGGTTAGGGTTAGGGTTTCTACGGGTAAAATTCCTTTCTCGTCATTTTTAATTAGTGCTCCAAAGTCGATTTAAACATTAGTTTTCGAGTATTTTCGCTTTTTTTGTGTTTTTCTTAATTTTGCGCTGATTCGGGATCAACAAAATTTACGCATTCCGATTTTGTATTACCTGTTACTCACACAAATAAGTGCATGCTGTCAAATCACTAATTTTGTACGTAGTTGAAATTTTACCTAAAATAACCCTTTGCATTTCTTTAAAGAAAAAATATTGAAAATATTGATTAACTGTTTTTGTATAATATTACCATATAATTAGATATTTAAACTTTTTGGAATTAATGATTGAAGTCAAATGACATAAAAGATTGATACACATGCATAGCGATAAAGTTTTTTTTTTTTTTTGCATATAACTATAAAAAGTACATAGAACCCTATTTTAGTGTAAAATAAGCGGAATAACAAATTTCTAAAAAGAGTTATTTATGTAAAATGTTTATAAATAATAACAGATAACATTAAGTGTAAAAATACACAGAACGTGCATATATGTGTTTCATCATGTAAAGAAATAGGAGCAAAAAAAATAAACAAATATTGAATTATTTATATGTGTGTACGTACGATACGACATTTTTTATTTAAATATGGAAATTTTGATTTATTTAAATAATAAATAATAAAATATAGATATATAACTTAGTACCGTAGTATGTATGATATGTATTTTTTATAAATCGTCACGTCTTGTGAAAATCAATGATAAAAAAATCAAGAATTGGTTTTTTTTTTTTTTTCAATGACGAGCCTAGACTTTTTTTAACCTATAAGTAGTAACTAAATAATGAGGCTTGCAGGACGGGCATGCAGAAAACAATAACTTTCTCGTTGATAAAATTTTTGACGGAACACAAAGAAATAATCGGGCTGAGACTAGAAAATATCCTGGAAAAGAAATATCATATGATTAATATTAAAAAATGTAGTAATAGTTATTTTTGGATTCAATTAATCTTTTATATATTAGTTAGTTAATTAGTTAGAAACTGAGTCTAAAAAAAAAGAAATTATTTTATTAGGAAATTTAATAATACCGATACAAAAAAACGGATTTTTTTTGTTTATACGTATTAAAAGAAAATCAGAAAATCATTTTTTTTTTTTTAAGCTTATTATCGTAACGGAAATGGTAATTATAAACAGATACGTAACAAAAAACATAATCGAACAAAAACAAAGTATAGGGTGTGATAATTAAAGAATTCATTCATTATTCACCTAAATTTAATACTGTGGGAAATAGTCTAATGCATCACAAGAATATGATTGACTGATTTATGCGTATTGTGAAATATATAAAAAATACTTGTTAATGGTATGTGTGTGTAATCGTATTTATTGTACACTGACATTCTCTATCTGATATCTTTTCTGATATTTTATAAATACTGTACTGTGTGTTTTGTGAGCAAATGCATTTTACTTTTTTTCTCTAAAATTGAAATTGTCAAATAATTATAATAATGGCAGAAACTACAGAAATTACAAATACAAACAATGAGTCAGGTTATAAATTTTTTACTTCAGGTGCACCAAGGCAACCAAATGAAAGTGCATTTAAATATAATTTTCGAAAATTATTTACTATAAAAACATTTGAAAGTATGGATGAAGATCAACGAAAATCGGAACTTAGAAAGTCTTTAAGTGCCTTTGAATTAATCATGCTTGGTTTAGGCGGTATAATTGGAAGTGGTATATTTGTTTTGACAGGTGGGTTTAATTCATTGTAATTTGTAAAGTAATATGTAACAATTATATATATATATATATATATATTTTTAACCTCATAAATTCAACATAAAATGTAATTAGGTGAGGCTGCTGCGACAAAAGCAGGGCCTGCTGTCGTTATATCTTTTATATTGGCTGGAATTGCTGCTAGTTTTGCAGCGCTCTCTTATTCAGAGTTAGCTTGCATGATCCCAATTTCAGGTTCATCATATACTTATGTGTATGCCACTATGGGTGAGCTTGTGGCTTGGATTATTGGTTGGGATTTGACCTTGGAATATTTGGTGGGGGCAGCAGCAGTAGCTGTTGGTACGTTTGAATTTATCCTTACTTATTTGTTATTAATATATTTATAAATATTAAACTTTTAATTCTAATTTATTATAAAGGTTGGTCTGAATATTTTACTCAATTTTTTTACGAGGGTTTTGGTGTCACATTTTCACCAGCGTGGACTAACTCGCCAGTTCAGTGGGATCAAGCATCCCAAAGTTTTATACGAGGTCAAGGATATATGAATATTCCTGCGCTTGTTGTCGTATTACTCTTGACTACTTTACTCGTCATAGGAATTAAAGAATCAGCTAGAGTTAATGCAATAATTGTCAGCGTTAAACTTTTTGTTTTATTATTGTTCGTAATTGCTGCTGGAATTCATATCAATGCTGAAAATTACAAACCATTTATTCCACCAAATCAAGGACAATTTGCGAGTTTCGGTGTATGTTTAATTTTTTTTTTTTTTTTTTTAGTTTAAATTATTTGATAAAGCAAACTCAAAAAAAAAGTATATAATGAAATTTAGGTTACTGGAATATTAGCGGGAACTACTGTAGTTTTTTTTGCATATATCGGATTTGATTCTATTTCAACTATTGCACAAGAATCCGTAAATCCAAAAAGAGATTTACCAATTGCAATTATGGGGAGTTTTTGTATCGTAACAGTTATTTATGTCGTCGTAAGGTAAAAATTTTTTATTAGTAATATAAAGAATATGAGGTTGAGTCAATAGAAATCGAACAAATTTTTTCAAAGTAAAATTTTTTTTGAAAACTTTATACAAAAATAACTCAACAAAAAAAACTTAATCATATTTAATAAAAATTTTTTTAAAATAAATGCTACAAGTTTGTAGAATTCATTTTTTTTAAAAAAAATTTTATAAATTTGATTAAGTTTTTGTTGAGTTATTGTTGTTTAAAGTTTCAAAAAAATTTCAATAAAAACAATTTACTTGATTTCTATTGACTCATCCCCCATATATTAAAAAAACTAGTTTCATACTAACCTATGTGTTTTAATAATTCAAAGTGTCGTGTTGACCGGTGTAGTATCATACACAAAGCTTGGTAGTTCAGCGCCATTATCGGTAGCGGTTAATGAAACGGGGATGAGATGGTTAGGAATAATTGTAGATCTCGGTGCAGTATGTGGTCTGTTATCAGTCATTCTTTTATTATTGGCGGGACAACCACGTATTTTCTTCGCAATGGCAAAGTAATTATTATTAAAATTCATAAATTCAGATAAAATTTTATTTAATTTTTTTAATAATTATTAATGAGTACCGTATTAATGTTATATATAGTGATGGATTATTCTTACCTGGAATTGCTTCCAAGGTTCATCCAAGATTTGGTACACCATACATAATAACTATAATAGGAGGTGTAATTTGCGCAATAGCAGCAGCGGTGTTCCCAATCGGAGTACTCTCAGAATTAACATCAATTGGTACATTATTAGCTTTCTTTCTAGTAAATATAGGGGTAACAATATTAAGATATACAGCACCAGATGTACCTAGAAGATTTAAAGTACCAGGTGGTCCATTTTTAATTCCGTTGTTAGGTGCAGCATTGTCATTGGTATTATTGGGATCAGCATCAACTGCAAGTATTGCTAGACTGTTTATTTGGATGGCAATCGGATTAGTTGTATATGCGTTTTATGGAAGGAGGCGTTCCAAAGCAAATAATCCGGAATTAAGAGATAAAATAGATACTCCAAATAAAGAGCAAGATTCGGAAAAATTTACGAATGATGATGGTGAGCAGGTTGGGGACACCGAGAATAATAATAATAGTAATAATGTGAAATTTGATAGAAATGTTTAATACACGGATGTACATATTCTCCTTTAGAAACATTTTAATTAATCATATTATTTATAAATATTATTGTATTATATAAATAATTTTTTTTGAACATTGCTAATTTAAGATTTCTAATTTATTAATGATCGAATTCATTTTTTTTTTTTTATATAATTCATTAAGTCAAATTATGTTCCCACGATATATAAATAATAAATCTCTTATTACTGTTTGTAAAGTGTATATGTGTGCCTAAAATATTTAGGGCTTGCCAAATAAAATTACCAAAGTTATTTTTATAATACTAAATTTTTAAATTATAAATATTTTAGAATTATAAAATATTTTAAACCGATAAAACATTATAAAATAACTTTAAAATGATAGTATTTATTTATTTTATTAACTAGTACAGGGATAATGCGAATCATTAGCCTGGTGACCACAATACCCCCCTATGACCACAATATCTACTTTAATTTTTATAATATTCGGATCTAATTATCTCGTGATCTAGCGATCAGAATCAAACGATTTTGTTACCATTCGATTCGTCTCGATGAGACGATTCTAATGGTATAAAAATCGTCTAATATGGATTGATAGATCACGAGATATAATAATTTTAAATTAATGTAACCATAATATCCTCAACTCCCTTAAGTTTTGATATAATAGTAAATTTGAATATCTAAAATTTGAATTTATATTTTTTTTTAATTAAATTTATTACTATTAATACAGATAAAAAAATATATACCTTAGAGATTTATAATTTATTCTTAAATTTTTAACAAAGCTTATAACTTTAATAAATTATTATATATAAAACCTAAGTCTATAATATTTAACTAGTTTTAAAACTATACAAACCTTAGATATAGTTTATAGCTAAAAAACTAAGAAGAATTTTAAAGTATATATTGTAAATAAGAATAGAATTTAAATAAATTTAGAATTTTTTAATTAAAGAATAGATGTTTAGATAATAAAATTAATATTTTTTTTATATATATATAACTCAAGCTTTATAAAGCTAGAAGTGCAGTTAGTACTTTTTATTTATAATTAATTAATTATTTATAATAAATATTTTAAATATTTATATAAGATGAAAACAACTCTTTCCTATAGATCATTTTACTAAAATAACTAAAAAGAAAAATAATTAAAAATACTAAGAAGTGCTACTTAATTATATTAAAAATCTGGTCTAACAAGCCAAAACTATGATAAACAACTACTAAGTTATATAAAAACTCAAAATAAAAAAAAGAAAAAAGACAACAATAGCAAAGAGAATTATTCTTCTCCAAAAGATACTTTTGCTCAACCTCTTACTTCTTATCCTACTCAGAAGTACAAAACTATCCAAATATCTACTATGAATGATTATAATCTTACTAGCACTAGTAAGAATACAACAAAACTCCTAACTAATAACAAAAACCAAAAGCTAAGTCTATTAAATATCAAGAAATAAAAATTTAATTCTCTTGCTATCTTACAAATTGCAAAAAATGAACAAAACAGTATATCTCTAACAAAAATGCAGATGTATGATATGTGACTCATAGTATTATAATAAACAACTATATTATGAGAAAAAATAAAATATCTAATACTATTAACAATAATAATAATACACAAATTATCATAAATAGTAATGATACTATACAAATTACTATTAATAATAAGGAGTCTGTACAGCTACCTTCAAAACAAGATGATAGTCTAAACTCTATTACTAAAGCCTTGACTTAAGTATCTAATACAGATATCTGATTTATCTTAACTATAGAGGAAACCTCATATGCTATAACTCTAACTTCTTTTATATCATATAGCTAGACAGTATAATCAAATAGTAAATAAAATAAACTAATATATATTGATAATACAGATATATGAATAGAAATAATTCACTAAAAGCTAGCAGATAAGGAATTAAACCCCTTCAACCTTCAAGACTAGACACTATATAAAATACTAGAAAGTCTAACTATATTAGAAAATCTAAAAAGTTTCATCTAGCATAATCTATTAACAATACTAATACAATATACAATTCCTTAAATAATCATATTTAAATTCAAATATAGAAATACTGTATTCTTTATTATATTTACAAGAGTCAAATAGTCTAAACTAGTTCACTAAATTCAATATAAGCAACTCTTTACTTAAACACTAAACTAATACAAAGACCAATATGAGATAACTATCAAAAATAGACTTACTAGAGATCTGATTTATACAAAGCTAAAACAAAAACTTGCAATAAACTTTTTAATAAATACAGACTTTAGAGGTTAGTTAATAGAGAAAATATATAGTACAATTAGATACTACAAAGACTTCATAAGAGATACTATACTATGTAAGCTAATAGAACTAAGAGAAATTATAGACTAAGTAATAGAAGAAATCTTATTAGAACTCCCTATATTACCTAAATTAATATCAAATAATATAGATTGAAATCTCTTCTTTGAATTACTAATTACTAAGAGATCAGAAACTAGAGCAGTTGTTATATATCTCCATACTCTATTTAAATTTAAAACACTACTTAATAGCTATTTCAAAATATTTTATCTTTTTCCAAACAAACTTGAAGACTTAGACTCATCACTATAAGATTTTTTCCTAATATCAAGTCAAAAAGTATTTCAAAACCTTATCTACTATAAGAGAAAACTCTAAGACTATAATGAATTAAAAACTATTTCTTCTATTTACTTCAATCTTTCTAAACTAAAAGAACTACTTCCTTTAGCTTATCAGAAGCTTAACTCAAGAGTTAGAAGTCTCTTTCTAATTGATCTAACTAAGCTAAACATACTACTCTTACAAATTATCAAGATACTTAGAGAACACTACTTATTTAAATAAATCTCTAATAACTTCTTTAAACCAAAGCTAAAATTTCTTTCAGATCCTACAAAGATCAAAACTAATACTATCTTTAGTTATCTAATTGAAAATAATAATAAAGTAATTAGATTTGTATAAGAAACTAGACTTTATTATTAATTCAGTCTACTACTATCTTCTATGATTATGACAGCAAACCTAACAAATAAACTCTGGCTCTCTAAAGATTCTAACCTTATAAAAAACTTCAATCTCACAATATTCATTACTTTACCAAAACTAATAGAAAAAATAGTAAGAATACTTCATTAGTACTATTACTTTATTAGACTTTTAAAAACTTGAATAGATTTCTAAAACAAATTAAATAAGACAAATACAAACTAAGAAAACAAAATTTAGCTTCTAGAATCTGTAGAAGAAATACATAATTATCTCTAAACAAAGAAAGTAAATATAATACAAATTCTATTACTAAATATAAAACAAGCTGCAGTAACTCTAACTCTCAATACTCTATACAAATACTTCAACTTTAGCAATATTTTTGAGATTTTATTTAAACTACTTTCTCTCCTAGTGCTATTCTAAAAGATCTTTGTTAATACTGATGACTACTAAATTATTATCTAATATTATCAAACAACACTCTACTTCTCTAATAATTACAATACACAATATACAAAAAATGAATAATAATATTAAATTTCAGCAATAGATAGAATTCTGTAATACAAATCATTTTGATATTTTTAGCATTACAGAAACAAAATTAGCACACTCAAAATTTACTAAATATATACTCAACAATCTCTATTATCAACTTTTTATATCTAATATAACTACTGATAAAGCATAAAAACAGAAAGCTAGTATGGGTATAGCAATCACTATTAAGAATTCTCTCTAACTATATATTCACAACATTATATCCTTTCCTAGTATGGCTATTGTAATTGATTTTTTTTTATCAAACAATAATCACTTCAGAATTATCTCTCTTTATCTTCTTTCTAACAACAACTCCTTTCTGGAGACAACATACTACAAGATACTCAACTAAACAGAATATGCAAACAAATATAATTTGTAACTTATAATCCTTAGTAACTTTAATTCAAACTTAGAAAGAAAAGATAGTACTGCTAAATTATTTTTTAATCTTCAAAAAGTAGGCTTTAAAGTGTACTAAAGACCTTTAGAATTAATATACTAATTTAGAAAAGATCTCAACTCTCTAACCAAATTAATAATATACTCATATCACAAAATATCATGAATAATTTTCTAATTTCAAAAGTTATAGATGTAAAAGAAATAACAAGAAGTGATCACAAAACTCTAACTATCAAGTAGTATATTAACTCTTTTAATAATAACAGAACAAGAAAAAAATCTAACAAATATCTGATATTTAAGTATACAGAAATAGACAATGAGAAGTAACTAGACTTTGCTCAAAGTATATCAAAAGAGATCAATAGCAAAAAAAAAGTATATAACTTAATTAATAGTATTACATACCTTAACAATGCTTAGAAATACTTAGTAATACAATAATTCAAAATAGAAAAAAACATATTTTTTGTATATTTAAAATTTCACAATCTTTTAATATCTATATTCTAATTACATTAAAGCTTTATAAAGCCTTTACTATAATAAACAAAACTTTAAGAATGATTAAAAATAATAATTTAAGTCAGCAGACTACTGAGATCAATCAGAACATCTCACAAATTAATGAGCTAACAGATTTAGATATTAATTTAGTCAATAATACTAATATTACTAATAATATCTCATTAATACTATATAATATTGAAACACACACAAGAAGACTCTATATATAGCTAGATGAATTAAAAACAATACTATCCTAAGGAACAAGATACAAGAATATATTCAAAACAGATATGACAATTTTAAAGCTAGTATGACTAAAATAATAGATAGTATTCTACATAGACATATAAATCAAATATAGTTTCAAAATATAGTAATACTAGAAGAAATCATCACAGACTCTTATTTAATTCAAATATATATTAGAAACTACTTTAAAAGCTAAATATATTCTAACCCATACAACAACTAACTTTGAGCAGATTAGCAAGAAGAATACAAGCCAAAAGACAATATACTTCTTATATAGTATAATATAATATAACAAGATATATCACTTATAGAGCTAAAAGATTATATAGCAACTATATCTAACAAAAAAGCAACTAGCCCACAATTAATATCTAATGAGATGCTAAAACATTTAGATGATTATATACTTGAATATCTTCTGAATATATTTAATACATGTCTTGAAAATACAATCTGATATATCCAATATCAAAGAAACTAGTCTTTATAGGTCAACTAAACTATATTTAGCCAATCTCACTAATTAAATATACAAGAAAGATTTTTACTAAAATTATCATAAGACTTAACAAGATCTACTCATTATTTCTAATCCTTAATAGCTCTAACTTCATTATACTATTTAAAAATTCAATAATGACTCTAATTATATTCTTCTCATATTTAATAGAGGATATAC